CGCCCACCGAAGGGAGGTGACAGCTCCCGTAAGGTGTAGGTAAGTCGTGCCTCGCGTAGACCCTATCCTGTCGTAGGGGCTCGCGAGAGGTATGGCTGGCGCACCCGGTTGGAGCGGCTTGTGGAAGCTCCATGTATATTGCGACGAAGGGTTCTAAAAACCAACTCCTGCGTGACGCGGTCGGGAGGGTCCCGCGCTGCCCCCGTGCGGTGCCGGACCGATGCGCCCGACAGGTGGCGCCGTTGCCGGGGATAGCGGAAAGCCTACCGTTGTCCTTGGTGGAACGACATCCGGGTATGAGAAGTGCATAAGAAAAGGCATAAAGGAGTGATGAGAAGGTAATGAAGGAATATATGAATGACTAAGTATAGGTGAGGAAATTTACCTACCCAAGCAGAGGAAGTATGAGGGACGATCGTGTTAACATTGGGTAAAGTAAGTATTAAGGGTTGGGGAGGACGGATGGAATAAACCGGTCAAGGTATAGTGTTGAATAAAGGGGATGTGCTTGTTTACTTTTGTCAGAGAACTTAAAAAGAAGAGGCTGTCAAGATGCCTGAGACTGGCGGCGCATCAGTTGTTCCCAAGAAGGGCCTGACACTCGATGACCTCATCGCGACCATTGACCGACATGAAAGGAACCCGAGCAACATCCCAAAGGTCGATACTTTCCATTTCTGTGGGGAGAGAGTCTCAGAATGGCTAGAGTGGGTGGAACAAGCTTTGGTCGGGCGGCCGGATGTTGTAAAGTTTCAACGCATCCTTCAGTATGTCCTCCACAGCTATCATCAGGAGATAAAGAAAGTCATAGATGCGGCTCAAGGTAGCTGGGAGAGGTTTAAGGAGGGGATGCAAAGGAAATACCGCATGGGAGATGGGTTGTTAACTACCACGGACCTTGAACCGATGAACAAAGAGGACTTTACGACTATAGGGGCCTTTGTTCAAGAATTTAAGAAGAGGGCGCGGAAGGTCCATGGGATTTCGGAGGAAGCACAGTGCGCCATCTTCCTGGGGCTACTCACAGCATCGGAGGCCGTCGAATTGACAAGACATGGAGGAGGTAGCACTAAGCTCACCTGGGCCACCATTGACAGAGGGGTGGAAGTTGGGTGCTTGGACCAGGTGGAACAACGTCAGGTACGCCTGCAAAGACAGAAGAGAAAGGAAAGAGATGCGACCGCTTCTGGGACCCCAGGAGTAACAAGGATTGTTACAGACGTATTGGCACAGCTAGGGTATGCGACAGAGCCGGTGGTGAAAAGGAGGGTGGTGAAGGTTGTTGAAGTAAAAGGAAAAGAGCCTGTGATAGAGGAGGCTGGTCAGGAGGAGCTCTGGGAAGAGGAAGAGCCCGTGCCGCAGCACCTGACGAAGGTCCAACGCAAAGTGCGTAATTTGGCGCAGGGCGGACAAGGATCAGGAAAAGCGCAGGCACATCAGGCCTAGGCAGCAGCCCCTTTAAATGTGGCGGCTCCATCATCTACTACGGGCCCCTCGCGAGGTGGGGCGCCCTCCTATGGACAGTGGCCCTGGCCGGTGATCAACGCAATCGTGCCATGGGGAAGCACACCGCCAGTAGCCGGACCGCAAACGAGTATGCCACCACCCATCTACCCCGCGGCCCAGGCCCAACCTGTGGCCCCGCCACCGTCACCTGATCCCAGTTCACAGGGCAGTGTTGTAGGAGGTGGGAACCAGGGGCAGTGCAATCAAGGCAGTGAAGGGAGGGGTGGAGGAAAGGGGCGAGGCAGGAATGGCGGCGGAAGAGGAAGGCAATGGAATAGACAAGGCCAGGGGTACCAAGGCCAAGGGAGTCAAGGCCAGGGGTACCAAGGCTAGGGCTATCAAGGCCGGGGGGATCAGGGAAGTCAGGGGTATGGAAGACCCCGCTTTGACTGGAGGACGGCCATCTGTCAACATTGTGACCAGCAGGGCCACACTATAAGGTTCTGTAATATAAGACGGGAAGATGAGAGAAGCGGACTGATGTCCTCTACTATGGATGGGAATATCTACGATCAGTTTGGGGAGGCCATTGATAGAAGGCTTGGAAGAGTGAGGGCTGAAGCCCAACGAAGAGCGGCAGCTGGGCCACCACCCCCTGCCATGTTCAGGCTATGGCAGGAAAAGGAGAGACCACCGTTTGGGGTGGAAGAAGTGGGGAGCAATAAGGAAGTGACTCAAGGGCTGCGAGGAGGAAGTGAGACGGAAGAGGCCATAATCATCGAGTCAGATGGCGAGGATGAGGAGGAAAGAACGGAGCCTCTGTCCGTCTTATTTGAGAAGATGGAGGACTTGCTGGATAAGATGGGGAGGTACCAGCAGAAGTTGGTAGGCCTCTGTGAAGGAGTGAAAGGATGGAAGTCTAATGTCCCCACAGTATTCCTCTATGACTCCGGCCCGGAGTCAGCGCCTGGGCGACCCGGAGTAAATGTGGTGGGGTTGTGCCCTCAACCAGGAATGAGGGGGAGACCTCTCACTCCGCAGGCCCGACTGGCACAGGCAGCGCGAACGAGAAATCAAGCCAAGGCCAGTACCAGCCAAGAGCCTCCAAGGGGGGAACACGAACCAGGGAGACGGAAAGAGGCTGTGGAAGTAGAGGACGACGATGATGAAGAGGAAGAGGACGAGAGGCAGCGCAGAGAAGAGGATCAGAGAGCGGAGCAGCGGGCAAGGAAAAAGGGAACCAAGGGAGAGGCCGAACCGGTCATACATGACGGACCGCCCAAAGAGAGGAAATACGCGGTCCGGTTGGAAGAGGAATTTGATATAGAGAAGGTGATTGACCGGCTGCTGGAAGGGCATAATGACCTCATGACCCTGAAGGAAATCCTATCGTCAGCCCCGCGACTCCGCGATGAACTGAAGGGGAGGTTATCACGGCGCCTGGTGCCCAATGTCCATCTAGGTACGATCCTGCCCAAGGAGGCAGAGTGGGCAGAGTCAGGTACGAAGATGGACTGGAAGTGCGTAGCCTGCGGTACGGTGGATTTGATGGTGAAGGGTTCCAAGTGCGCAGCAATGGTGGACACCGGGGCAGAGATGAACATTATTCGGGAGGCGGACGCGATCA